TCTCGCCTTGCCCCAGCCAGGGCTCCCTGCCCTCGGAGGTCTCACGTGGCCCACGCGGTCGCCTGGCCCGAGCGCTGCGGTGGCCCTACTTCCTGGAGCCCCACCGGGCATGCTGTGGCCGTAATGGGCGCGATGATCAGATAAGCGGCTGCCTAATGGCAGAGATAACAGTAAATACGCCAGGAGGCCTTCGGAGACGTTCTAACTGGGTCTTTGTCTTCCCCAGGGCAGATAAGGTGGCAGCGGACCAGGACGGTGAGGCAGGAGGCCCCGTGCCCCTTTGCCAGCCTGGACTAGGCGAGCAAGCAGACTCTGCCCCTGCCGGGGCCACTGCTGCCATCCAGGACACCAGCCATCCGTGGCTCTGCCTACCACGGGGCCGGCTCTACTCATCAGGGGCAGGGCCTGGTCTGGCCAGCACCACGCAGCCCTCATGGGGACACTGACACTAGGACACTGAGGCCCTAGGGACCCGTAGCGGGCAGCAGGTGCCAGGATCGAAACCAGACCCAGAGCCTGATGTGGGCACAGTGCCAGAGCCAGCCTCTCCGTTCTTATCTTGTCTGCCTCTCTGCCCCGAACCCCGGCTCACAGGAGTCCACAGGGCCACAGTGCCCACCCACCCACCTGCAGCAGGGGTGTGGAGCCACTGTGTGAGGACACCGTGAGCGACAGCAGGTTCTGCACCGGCCTCTGCTGAGGTGGCCCAGGCCTGTGGTCCCCGAACCCTGCCCCAGTTTAAGAGGGGGAAGGTCCCACACCTCCTGGGGACTGCGGGTCAGGAAGGGGCTGTCTCAGCACCATCGCTACAGGCTCACGCCCGCCGTCATGCCTGCGGCTGTTCAGGTCCCTGGGTGGAGAGAGGCACCCACAGGAGACCACCGCCCTGTACCCTAAACGGAGTGTGTGGCCAGGCCCAGCCCCCAGATAAAGTGCTTCCTATAGGGCCCCATCTTCAGGGTGCTATGGCCTGCAGAGCAGACGGCTCCGGAGAACTTCAGCTCCCACCAGTACGCGGGAAAGGCCGGGTCTCTTCAGAGACCCGGATGTGGGGATGGAGACGGCAGAATGGTCACCGTGACAACCCATCTCCCTGGCCCAGGTCACCTCCAGGTGGGTGCAGGGCCATGGGTGGGTGGGTCGTAGGGGAGCACACCTGATCTCAGCCTCAGTTCAGTGCCTTGTGCAACTGTCCTCAGCAGGCCTGGGGATGTTAGCACCCATCTGGTCAAGTAATCTAGGGGCTGATCCAAAAGTACGCTGTGTTTAAATTTAAAAATGTATCACATGACACATTGCCATGAATTTCCTTCAAAATCCTCCCCCCTGCTTTGAAAACACTTATTCCATAGTTCTGAAAATTAGTTCTTTCACGAATGTCTTTACAAAATGCGATTTTTAAAAAAAGTGAACACTGCTGCCCCTCCTAAAGCCAAAGTGGCGTTGTCTTTTCCGTCTTATTTGGTATCTGACACTGTGGGGCTCCTGGCTTTTCCCCTAAGTCAAAATGACCATGGAAGGGAAACTTGAATCAATTCAGGATGTGGAGGCAGCCGGACAGCGCCACCTAGACCCTCAGGAAAGAGGGCGCAAGCTGGCGC